TTTTTATTCTTGACGTTTTCTCCGCAAGTTAACATACAAATTTTACAGACACTTAAGAATGATGATTTGTAGGAGTTCATAGATTTTTTTATGGTACGTAACAAACAAGAAACAATAAAAAGTTATGATGTAAAGACTGTATGGATTTGTATGTACTATCGTGCGTGTGTGGTTATCAGATGAAAAATACAGTGAAATTCATCTTTAAAAGTTGTTGTTTATCAAAGTACAGAAGTGCTTCTAGCCCTCAATCTGATTAGTTTTTAGAAATAGTTAATAATCAATCTGTTTAAGAACACATAACACCTCTCTATATTGCGTGTACTATGTGTTTGATAGTATCGTGTCTTTGTAAATTACGTTTGATGGATTGTTTTTCAATCGTGAATCATAAAAATTACCACTATACGTAGCTGATAGCTTATAGTGGAAGTAAGGCTGTGACATACTGTTATCTAGTCATCTACTAATGAAATATTTTACTGTGCAGTAGTGGGCTTGTAAGACAATGTACATGCTCTTATTCATGCAACGTTATGAATGGCAATACAGTGATACGATACACTGAAGCAAAGAAACTGACGAACCATTACTTACTTAGTGACTTAATAAAGACCAAAGCTTTTGAGACTTCACTCTTATTTCTCCTGACCTGACCATAGACGATAGATACTTGAATTTTCCCGTCTGTCTATATTCCGGATCGTTTCTATTCTTTGTAATCGACAAAGAAGAACTCGTTAAACTGTCTGGTATGATGGTATAAATGAGGAAAACGCACGAGTGATGAACATTATTTTATTTAAATAATCACACGAGGTATCGTTTTGTACATAGTATGTAAAAATATCTGCTAATAGATACCATAGAGTGGACTGTATTAAATTCCACTCTTGATTGTAAAGTAGATCACTACAAAGTTGTACTTGTTTGTACCTTGAGAAGAGTCATCTTGAATGTTCTATAGAATAATTAATTTTCTAAATACTTAATAATAAGATCAGTCGAGTTTTGATAATACATTTTTACTATGCAATAATTGTGTACAATGAGGCAACATTACCACACCAGTGTTTTAAATTATAAAAGATAGAATTAAATTATATTGTTCTCGTTTTATAATCTTTTAAGTGTTCTCTTCTTGTCTTTTAGTATTTTTTTCTTTTCCGCTGTTAGTTTCTTATCTCCTGCGTGCTTTTTCGGGAGTGGTCCCCCCGGGACTTCAGAGGAAGTGCAACTTTCCAGACCTGCTTTACTTCCTTTTCCACCTCCCTGTCCCATAAATTGACTAAATGAGTATACGCGCTAATCGCTTGTTGTTATACGTTCTGTTTCGTTACCTGTGCATGTATTTCCGTCATCATTTTTGCCCTCTCTGAGTAATCATCGTACCTCTCTAAGAGTAATTTGCCAGCTTCCTCATTTAAAGCAGACTCTGCATTTGGCACGATTAAGAGGCATTTGACGGTCTAGACATGTGAATTAAGAGATATGAATTGTAATAATCGATCACAGCCACGTTTGTCTACTGCTGGACTGACGACTTACTAGTAGTATGTGTTTAATTCCGAGATCTGACTTCCAATCCTTCTTTAATGTATTGACACAAATTTCTCCATTTTTCGCGACATTCGGATGAAAAATTTTTGTAAGGAAGAATGCTTTTGGTGGTCCTTGAGGAAAGTCTTTGCCAAGAGCTAGTTTTACTCTGAAGAAACCGCCAGCATACGGCGTTCCCGCTGGTATTAGGAAAATTTTATTTTTCGCTTATAAATACTATAATGTCGAGCTATTGTTATATTTAATGAAACTAACATTTTGTATGCATAAACTATAAAGTACAAAATAACAACTCGAGAATGAGAATCGATTCCGATTTATATCGCGTTTACAAGTAAAATAGAACGTTAACCATTGTACGAAAGTTTAAAAATCTGTACTTCAGTAGTACGTGTATACTATGCGTGTATGTATAATGTACGTATAAATCTGACAGGGTGGAAAGGTTATGCCTCGATGTTTATAAAATGATTTACAAGAAGCGAATGATATTTAACAGAAATTTAGGAAGGACAGTAATTACGTGAGCTGTAATCTTACAGGGTCCTTCTATAATAGCTTGAATATCTGTAACATCCTCTTCATTTAAAATAATACGAATACCCTCGGGTGGTTGTGCTGCTAATTCGCTCATTTCTTTGGCCACACGCCGAATAATTTGTGGTGATAAGTTTTCGACGTTTGATATCTGAAACGAGGGCGAATTATAATAATGTAGAATCACTTTGGAGGGAACGAAGGGTACGACAGGAGAAGTTTGCCTCCTTGGCCAGGCGGGCAATAAACAAGAAGTACTGCTGGAAAATTCCGCAGATAACAATTAATATGTATTATCAGGTACTTACAGAACTTACAGCAGCCATATTTTGTAAATTTTGAACGAAATTTCAATTAAGCGCGTTTAAGACGCGATTGTTTCGAGTATACTGTTAGAAAATCTTTAACGTCACAACATCGGCACAGCATCGCCTGCAATAACCAACATTTTGAACTGATAGCCAATCGCGTGCGAGTTACAATAATCTCGAAGGCAGAAGTCGATTCCTCCTCACTTCTTGTGTTTTCAAGTAAAAAGTATCCGGCTGGTGTACGGCGTCTCGGAGTTTTACTCGAAGACACATCGCGGTGATTAGATTAAAGAATAAAAGAGTCTGCTCAGATAGAAGGAGGCTGTATAATGAGTAGAACAGATTTCAACTGCGTTGTACTGTAGCTCCGACACGGTTTGAGGATCTTATTGGCACGGTTGTACACGGTATTTTCAGCACGAATTTGAATAGCTTATTCAGTAATCAGGATGGCTGATAGTGCGACAATAGAGAGGGTAAGGTTTTTAGCAATTTTCATTGAACAGATTAGATATCCAATATACGATCAGTGTGTTTCGTTTGACATCTGTCTAAGACTTAACGTTACCCCACTGTGGCAGAAAAATCAATGACAGTGACGCTCATTTCCTGCTTCTGAGACAATGCACTTTTATTTTAGGAAAAGCATACGAAGCAGTTAAAGCGTAAAATAGAATGCTGGCGGGAATTAATACTTTCACTGAATTCTATTCTACTGTGGGAACAATCTTGGTACCCTGCTCTCATACTTGGGATCACGACAACAATATTTTTGTAAGTGAAATGTTATAGTCTTATTTGCTTGTAAATTAATCTGTTTCTGTTTATTCTTCTTCTTCTTCTTCTTATTATTATTATTGTAGCAGCAACAATAGCTATATTTTATTCGTCTTTATTTGTATCTATCTCTTTAAGTAAATTGTTCATAAAACTTGTCGATAGACTGATATGGACGTTGGAACCTACTGTACTTACCATAATATCTGTATCTCTTCTCGTATTGGCTTTGATTGATTATATTGTACCACCTATAACGTCTTTTCTGAGCCCTGCCAATAATTGGACTGGCCAAAAGGAGAAAGAACTGGATGAGATCTGCCAAAATTTATCTGCACTAATTTTACAGCTACAGAGTCTGTGGAAATTAATGCTACAGACGCGAAAAGATCGTCCCAACTTTGTAAGTCGTCACGAGCAGATGACAAATGTCACACGCATAATATGCATAAATTTCTAATCCACTTCCGTTTGTGTGTTACAGTATTGTGCAGGAATAATAATTTGTCTCATGCTTTGTATATGGATTGGAAATACAGTTAATAACTTGCTCCTCTTTTATATTGCAGGTAACATTGTTCTTAATCTACTTGTCTGACACGTAATGACTTGTATCTGGTACTAGTATTGATATAAAATTTACTTTATTGGAATATGTTACAGTGAATGCCATATTACTTATGCCTGGACTTCGACATAAAAAACGCCCAATGGCAGTTATTAATTACGTGCGGGACTTCGTCAAACAATCATAATCGTCGTCGTTTTGTATGTACGTGTCTTTCTCTTCATTATCTGTGAGATTTTTTATCTATACGATAACGGTTAATAACTAATTTATTAAGGATAAACTAGCTTACCAGCTTTTTAAATGATTATACTCATAAAAATTATGCTCTCACTTTGTTTGTCATTTCATGTGATATTTAAGATTGCAATTCGATTTACAAGCACTTTTATACTATGAGTGTATACACACACACACTGTTCTTCATTCATTGATAGTAATAAAACTATTACATCTTTCGTGGATGTTTATTTAAAATGAAGCACTAGTTTACATGCTAAAATCGGTGTTGCTCAGCAGTGGTTATTATTATTATTCGTTTCGTTATTTGAAAATGGCGGGTTTAATGAATGATACGACTGTTAGGTGGCGCAAAGTCTAGAAATAAATGTAAAACTACATTTATCTCGTTTATTGCAATGACCAGATCACTTACGAATTCGCATGACGAGATAATGTCATGAGTAGAATGACTTTTGGACGAAATATGTTGCGGATAATCACGCGTACAAATTTCTCAACAATTATCAGTGACAGTTAGTTTTCACATTAATCCGTTTCTATTTTTTGGTTACTGGTGATAAAATTTTGATATATGATTATATATGTATATATACACACACACGCACACGCACACGTATATACGCGCCTATAAACAAATGTTATCGACGAACCATAATTTCTAAGTCAATCTTAATTGATTATAATTGAAATTTATTATAATCATTTCAATTGCAAAGCATTTAATTTTTAATACCAAGAAAAATACTATGGATATAATAGTAAAATTGAATGAACAATCAGCTGGGAGAGACAAGATCATCAGGTATGTATCGTGTTAGATTTCTATATTTTATATAAAATACATGAGACACACGATTCTTTTCCTTTATTTATCCCTTACCAACATAAGTAACATAGTCTCATGCTTTATGTAACCTGTGCTCCGTCATCACCACTTGTTTACCATTATATTTCATGAATGTTAAAATGTTTTTTATCAGTTATTACAAAGTCAAACTTCATGAAGACTCACTGTTACATTTGATAGAACTGGAAAACTTGAACTTTATATACTCATTCCTCATAATTTTCTGTCTCTATTTACATAATTATTTTCTGTTTAACTATGCGTTACAGATTGCTCCAATATGGAAGTCGAGCATATTGGTATTATGCACAAAATATTCATTGCACACAACATTCTGCGGAAGTCTTAAGAAGTTTAGAATACACGTTCAGTTCATTCAGAAAACGTATATACCAATATATTTTTAATTGTTTGGCCATAGTTCTAACCTGATCGATGTCAACAATAATCGTTTTTGTTTTACTTTATTCTCTGTCTTTTAGTACTACGTCTTGGGAGATGTTTGGATAGTCTATACTCTGCCCTGAAAGTGATGAAATATCCAGACGTTGTCATAAAGATTACTTTGGCGATATCAAAAATTGCCCATGCTTTGTTTCTATTAGCAGATCACATAATTTGGATCGGCCGCGTGGGATTATATAGAGTTAATATCGAGAAATGGAGTAAGGTAGCAAATAAGTATTGGTTAATGAGCGTCATTATGAATCTTATAAGGGACATCTACGAGATTACTAAAATCCTTGAACATCATAATAAGACACAAAAACTTTTCCCCCGTATACTGAAACAATATGAATTGCTATATAATTTGAGGGATCATAAAGATATTGTACTGGATACAATTAGAAATGGATGCGACTTATTCATCCCATTGACAGCGCTAGGGTATACTAATTTTGCCCCTGGGACAATAGGTATATTTGGTATGGTATCTTCGATTTTAGGTCTTTACACATTGATTCATCCATTATACAAGCTGACACCGGCTTAAAGTTAGGCTGTAAGATGTTATATTTTGTTATTTCAGTTAATTTAAACATATAACATTACAAAGCATTTTATTTACAAAGAGAGGACATTACTTAAGTCGGACTAGTATATCGATGTTTCGGGTTTTATGGTATTTTACAAATTTCTCTGTATATCGTTGCTGTATGTATTTTAACTGTGATACTTAAATAACTATATTGTTAATCTATTTTTTGTATGTTTTTTTTTAAATAAAGCTCTATGATTCCCGAGAAGTAATACAAGACACGCGATAAAAACAAAAAATAATAATCGCTGCGTTTTGTACAAATGAGATTTATTGATTAATAAAATTTCATTGCTTACAATGTTATTTAATAAAAATATAAAGTGACCGTACTTTTATAAGTATACGTAAAAAGTCCTATGCGTTACTCTCTGTCAATATGGGAGCAGATCCTTCTGTAATAACTAATTCATATTTATGAGAATAGTACATTAAAAATATACCCCATTTCCCACAAATCATGGACCAAACAGCGGATATTATTGTACTTTCACTTATGGGCTCAATGGCTATAATATAAAAAATACCTTATCATATCTTTGCCATAGATTTATAGATGGTGAAAGAATAGACCCCGACTGTTGTGAGAAAATTACTTACGTATCTTGTAATAAAACGTAAGGAAGAGGTACCAAATCAGTGCAGTAATTCCTGCTACTGCGCTTACAAAACCGACTGCATGTAAGTTTCTCAATGTAATTATGGTGTACCATCCAGCTAAATTTTCTGTTCCTCTGACCCAGTGCAGGTGAAAACAAACTGCAGCTAAGATACCTAAGTACGTGACATCACTGCCAATAGATTTGTCTAAATACTTCTTTTTAAAATTAAAGTCGACGTTGCTAATTTAGCTGACGATTTCTATGTTTACAAACCATTGCCAGATTTAATAAATATGTTTTACATACTGATGTATTACGAGTCATTCATAACTATATTTAGAATTGTACATGGTAATAATATAATGGTTAGAAAATGAATATAACGAAATGTATATTGTTTAATTACTGACCTGAGAGGATCGACCAAAATCCGACGTCGTGATTACTGTATGCAATGAAGAATACAATGAACGCCGATACACCGACGATTACACCGATAGCGCTCAGTATGAGATGTATTCTCACTTCCCGTAACATTTTCAAATCAGTATCATCACTATCATCAGTACTATATAAGTTTGATTGCTCATATAAGCATATAAGACGTGTGCAGTGGCGCCGGTGGCGGTTTCTCCTCGGCATGCAGTTTCTGCCTGTTGCCTGCACCTGCACCCCCTGTCCCGGATCCTGATGCAATTCAGTGAATTCAGTCTAAAATTTTCGTATTCTCCTGGTCTTCTCCTCAACTTCAGCATATATATATATATATATATATTTTGTAAAGGTTGTCAAGTTGTCACACTTGACATGGCCATATCTATAATATAATTTTATTTGTGGCCGAACGGACAATTATCACTGGAGGACAGTGTCACGTGAGTGGTGGTGGTGGTGGTGGTGTTGGTGGTTGGTGGTTGGTGGGGGCTGGGGAGCCGCGCAGCAGCAGTGTTAGTGGTGTTAGTGTTAGTGGTGTTAGTCAGCAGAGCAGCACAGGACAGGAGGGACAGGACGCCTATACGGTTGATTCACTCGATTGTTTACAGGAATGAGGTGTAAAAATAATACGTTGTAGCTAATACACGTACTTAACTGGTTAAAAGGTTTCAACAATCTGTGCACAAGTATGGGTTGTTGTTACAGTTTCTGCAAAGAGGACAACAGCCCGCAGGTAACAAGTCCGAAATTGCTTAAATTGTTGTTGCACCGTTCGGTGGAATATTTTGATACGATTAACTTATCGTCTTAGCGATACGCTGTTGGAAATACTAGAAACTTTCGTCGCAATCCCGGTTTCGACTCGTTTAATAGAAACGAAATAGTTAATAGAAAGTTAAAATATTCTTACGCGTTGTATAACGTTTAAAGAACATTTTTATGAAAATAAATACTTCGATTCGATTCGACTTGAGTCAACAAAATCGTCTGAGATGATTGTCTCTTTGTTTATTTGCTCTTTTTTTTTAGAGCGGGGAGGTAAATGAAAGGACACACTTGCTGGTAGATCCTGTCAGTAATAATACAACGATACCTAGAGTACACAGGTTTCTTCATATTTTTCATCTATAAACATTTTTATTATAGTATTAGGCGGTGATGTTTATTAAAATTTCACTATTTCCATTTATTTCAGTGATGATTACGTTAACCAGTATGCAAGTTCAGCACCCAAGAAAACAGATGAACAAAGTGCATTGAATAGAATTTTACACGAGACTGCTGCGTGAGTGTGTTTTTGCTATTCTTCTATCAGTTTGACTTACCTATTATTGCCAGGGTCACGATTATTAAATACATTGTTGCTGAAAAATGATACATGATGATTTATCAATTGTAGCAACGTGATAGACGTCGGAGCATTAGATTCACATAATTTGGAACAACATGAATATATGGATAGGTCCCGCGCATATTCCAAACGGATAGAAGCTGGAGGTATCAAAGTCCCTGCTGATAGTACGTCATGCCTGCTTAGAGATATTCCTGCTCCGGAAAAAGTATTAGCAGCAGATCCCCTTGCTGCTGGAGACTATGGGCTGGTACGTGCATGGTGTGCACCTATATATAAAATTGTTCTTGAGAGTTGATTTGTATGAAATTCCTTTTCAACTTTGTTCACAGATTACAGAAATGCTTGGTAAGGCTATGACTGCGTTAGAGGACGTAAAAGTTGAACACAAAGAGGATTTGGTAGTTCCTTTCTTGTCGTGATCTTTTGGAATTTCCTCGGCAGGCTCGTATCCTGCTTGAGTGAAATCGTATTAAGTATCGCGTGACGTTGGAGGAACATGTTTACATGTTTCCAAAATCAGTTTTCGATAAGTTAGTCTAAGTCGTCTGGATTTGCAACAGATTTCTGAACTCAAATACAAATATAAATTAAGCATTGTATTGTGTACTGTATAGATGAAAGTTACTACGATCGGGGAATGGTATTACCTCTCAATAACAACTGTGTTAAAAATGGCTTGACAATTTATGGATGTACAAGATGATAATTTTAAAGTCAGTTACAAATTGAGATGTGAGTTTCGAAACGATGACTTTTGAAAAAGCGAGCTGAATTTGGTAGCAGTTTCCCAGGAATTGTATGAAAAACTGTAAAAAGTTAATCCACTGTTATTACTCTTCACTGCTAATGTGTATATTGAGGAAAGAACGATATAAAACGGCTATTTAGTCATAATTTAATAAATGCAATTGTAACACACATTTATAGTTTTTCGCACATACAGAATGCAAACCGTTAAGTTTTACCGAAGTAACGAATAACAATTCTTTTTAGTAAATATGTTTTATAAATTTATACTGAGACAATGTCTCATACGTACACAAACTGCATTATGATACGTGACATATAGGTAGATTCAGCAGTCACATAGATGATGGTCGACGTTCACAACAAGCGACTGGAAACATTTTTCCGCATTACTTAAACTATGCTTCATACCCTTACTTTCGTGTGTAAAATTTTGTGTGTACGAGAAAATGTTTTATAGAGTAACAACCAAACGTGAATTTCTAATTGAGACATACATTTCTGATATGAATTATGTAGTTCTATAATCAATGTGTGATATTACTTACCGATTGCCAGTGTACACGTTTTGTGTTTATCACAATCTCTTGTTACTTTTATGTATTTTCTTAACTGTCATACAAATTGTTGCTTTATTACAAATGCTTGTTGAGGTACATGTAATCTGCAAATGTAATGAATCAAAATCTCATATTACTTTACGAATTTATGTTAAGTAAAATTAATTATAGTCGGCAATAAAAGGAGGTTGAACGTTGTACAAGCGGCGGCGTCGACGGCACCTGTTACATTAGAGCTTATCGCAA